GGGGGGGGCGACGGGCTTACTGGGTGTTACCTCCGCCAGGCGACACAAAGGAAGCAGGCGCGGCGGAGCAGGGCACGGCGGCGAGGCGGTACACAGGCGGGACGCGAATCAAACGCGGAGCAGGCGGGAGTTTGATTAGAAACTGTCGGGGAACGCGTCAATCCCGTCAGCCGGCGTCGTCAGCAGCCCCTCTTGCGCGCACTGCTAGTGCTTCCCGCGCGCCGCCGTCCTTTCCGGAACGCGACCACGCGCCCGACCGCACGATAATGTGTTGACTCGCGCCCAAGTATAGCAAAGTACTGCTGTGGGGGGTATGCGTGCGAGCATATAGGACGCGACGCAGTGAGCGCGTCGTCGTGCTTTACAAACTTTTGAAATTAGCGCGGGATCAAATTTTGGGTTTCCATCAGAATTTCACCACAGCCATTTATGAGCAGCGTTAGCGAGCGCAGATTATTATAGAGCGGCTCTGATCCATCACCCGCCCGCCTCTGCCATGCTTTTAGGCCGGCGGGGCTGCTCTGCGGTCCAACCTAATTCTCCCCCCCCCCTTTTCCTCCCTCCCTCCACTTCTCTTGCCTCCCCGTCCTCCCCGGCCGAGCGATGGGCCACCCTGCGTGCAAAGAAAGGGAAGGGGGACGGGGGGGGGGGGTTGTCTGTTTACACTCTGTCCTGCTAAGCGATCCCCGCCGGGGCGGCGCTGGGCCGGCTCCAGTACGCCGGACTTGTTGGCATCACATGCATGACGTGAGGGTCCCTCGCCCTCTGTCTCTCTCTCCCCCGGCGGACGTTGTTGTCATGTTGTTTGTCTGCCCCACGCCGGCCCTCTCTGTGTGTAGTGTGTCCTCCGTGTCCTTTCCTGCATTATGCCCACCCCGCGCAAGCAGAAAACGCTTTTCTGCCTTTGAATCGAGGAGAAAAAAGGAAACGACGCTGACGTTGTTTGGAAAGAAAGGGGGGGAGGGGAGACTTGTGAAAAAGTCAGTGAAACAGAAATTGAAAGCAACTACGTGACTGGTGCATTGGCGAGCTCTAACGTAACCCCAAAAATTCTTTTTTTAAGGACAGCACGAAGGCACCAGACTGCTGCCTAGTGACACACGCACGCTGGCAGCCCTGTGCAAGGCCCTCTGTTTGCTCAGCAGCGACCTGGCGCCGCTCCGCTCGTCATTTGCACGCTCTAAGTTGATTAGTGGAAGTGCCGCGCCGTGGGTTTAGGGCTGCGTGCTGGTGGGGGCCAAAAGGGGGGGAAGCCTCGCTCTTTTATTTACCTCTTTGCCCCCCCCCCTCCCCTACTTTTCTCTTCCTGGCGCTTATGTAGTCATTATCCTTAAAATTAACGCATGCGCAGAACACCCGCTTTCAGCGAGCGACGGGCGCCCAGCGCCGCTACAGCAACAAGGCGGTTGACCAACCAATCACCGGAAAAAAAGATTCGCTGAGCCAGCTAATATATTGACTGGTATC